TTCTTACGTTTGCTTAAAGATTGTTTAAAGTACTTTTGATGAGTAATGATGGTTGTATAAATAATTATTTTTGGTTCAATTCGATGAATCAAATTAGCTCTATTTGTCGATCTTTCACTGTATGCTATCGATCATGTAGTCCTTTATTCTTCAATCTGTTTAAACCATCCCGCTCCAAAAGCAGTTCGTCCTCCATATCTTCTCTATGGATAATCTACTGCCTTATGTCATTATTGTCCACATTAAAAACATCATCCAATCAATATGTAGCACTGATATGAATGTCTTCTTCCATAATGGATGCATGCATTCGCTGTAGCTGTAGCTGCCAGTAGATTCTATTAATCAAAATTCTATCAAATTAATATATCATCTTTTCTTATCATTGAAGCTTTATCTATCCCTAATTGATTCACCATTGTTCCTCCTCATGCTCACATCATACCTGGATGCATGCATTGTTAAATCAATATTTATCAATCTAACCCTTTCCACCAACTCAAAAAGCTCCTAAATTCGTGAAGGTAATAACGGATGCCTCAATTCTCTGTTCAACCCTTATAGAAATATGTAACATTTATCTTTAAGAGTAAGGATCAAATGAGTAGCGTACCTTGCCAATGCAGTAAACTCAACTGTATACTGCATCATTATCTTACGTCCCTGTTCCATTCTTATGAAGGCTACCTACATCTGTCATCAAGCTGAAGGAGGTACAAATCACATCCTAAACATTGCTGTGAGCTTTTCCTCAAGTAATCTATTTATTTATTTTTCTTTGAAATTTCTCTAGTTGATGTCTGAGCCATTATTTTTGTCACTTCACCTTTAAATAGAAAAATGGCTAATGGTACCTTTCGATTCTCAGGATAATGTATGCTATCAAAGATCTTCTCTATCCTCAGTAACAACAGTATACTGCATTTATTAATGTACAAATCTTCTTTAATATGGGGTCCTATAACTCATTTGAATAGTAGAGGTTTCATCTTATGAAATATATAAATGCTTATCTCTCTCTTCTTCTCAACTTCTAACTGGCTTACTTTGTGTCTCTTCTATTACCTTTGTTATAACACTAGCCAATTGCATAACAATGTTGGACAATATCAGAGATGCACTGTGTTGTTCATTTAGTATATTTTGCTCTAGTAAATCCATTTTAACTATTTAATTGCACAAATTTTTCTAAATAATTCACACATGCTATCAATTATATATACAAAAAATCATGTACCTTAATTTACCCAATCTTACTCAACTCATTATCAATTTCTATAGCTCTGGTAATAATTCATTTCTTCTAATAATCGTTACTTTGATACCAAGTTTGTTAGAATCTAATTTAGATGAATTATTTCTTTTAACTTTTAATATTAACAACCACAGTTATAATCTCTTTTAATAATAAAATATCAGCAAAAAAATTTTATAAATCAAAATATTAATATACATATATATTTATTCTTTAAAAAATCATGTACAATACTCAGGTACTGTCATACAAATACAATAATATATCTTCATACTAACCAGTAAAAAAGAATAATTAAAATATAGAAAAACTTGAAGCTGTGTCCTGTACCTTATTAGTTTCACACTCCCGATTTTCTTCTCGGACCTGAAATCATCACACCACATATAATAAGCTAAAAAGTTCAACAGATCACCAAAATTTTAAAATTGAACTCAAAACACAAAAAATAAATAACACATAGTAGTACAATTAATAAAGCCTAGAAAATCATAAATTAGTACGATATAGAGGTTAGTAAAATAGTGTAGCACATAACTAGTGAAATATATAAACTAGTAAATCTAGTATAGATGTCAAAACAAAAAAGTAATAAACATTATTTTTAAATCATACATCATAGCAGTAATATCCAATTCATAAAGAAATCATATAAATCAAAAAAATTGAAGCATCTATGAAGGCTATCAAATATCCTTCTTAATGTAATACTATTAAAAAATTGTATAAGAGTATAAGTATGATGTTCAATTATTCTATATCAGTATCAAATTAGTATCTTATATTACATGCTAAGCAGTAGTAATCACATGCTCAATAATAGTAAGTCAGTAAATAGTAAATTAATAACAATAATAGTGACAGTGAATTAGTAGCAATAAACTAATAACAATAAAATTTGTTGCAGTAATTATGAAATAATGCAGTAATTATGAAATAATATAGTAATGTTAAATCAATACATTAATAGCAAATCAATATAATGAATGCATCCCAATAATCAAACTAAACAAATAAAGAGTTCTTACTTTTGTGGTATTCTTCTAATAATCATTAAATCAACAATCACTCTTTACTCATCTGCATAATAATCATCTCTTTATAACTCTCAATCAATAAATCATATGAATCAGTACACCAAGCTACAGCACGTACGAAAGTCCGTTGACCCACCATCATGTACATGCTAGTCAATCTATAGCTAGCGTCAACAAATAACTAGCATTTACTTATTTTCATACATATTATTATAATAATAATAACAACCAGTTATCACCCAATCACATACCCATATTCATTTGTAATATTTGTAGTTATAATATGTTTATGTTAAATTAAATACAAATATTACTATTTTGTGCAAATCATATAAAATACAGTAAGTACCATTTTACCGAGTGAAATTACTAAATCAACTAGTCAATATGTCAAAAAATAATTTTTTTTTGTTATTACAATATACAAAAAGTTATGCAGCAGAAATTCACTAAATCCAAATAAAATCAATTTGGAAAAAATCGAACGATCGAATTTGAAATATTTAAAAATAGAAATATGATATAAGTCACATACAAAGATCCGAGCAATCTTCGTAAAAGCGATGAAATGAATCAACTGCTAAAATCTAGATTTCTCTTTCCCTTATCCTCTTTTCCTTTTCCCCTTCTTCCTTTCCTTCCACGACATGTTAAAGGAGCGAGGGAAAGGAGTGGGGAAAATGACTATTTAATATATATAAAAACTCGTTTTAGTGCGTGGAGCCGTGGAGCTCCAACCCAACATCATTGTGCTACATGCTAAATCTAAAATTACAGTATAATAGAACATTTAATGTTGCGGTGGCAATTTTTGGCACCGTTACGCTCATAGGCTTAGCGTTGTTGCGCCTACAAACACAACACCATAGTGCTCCAGTTCAAACATAAATTCAGATTCTCATTTTAAATTTATTTTAATAATTATTAGACTGTTACAACTAATTCTATCAAAGTATGGAACGGTAGGAGGTTCAAGGCCCATACGATAGGAAACTACTTTATATTCTTTCAAATATGGATGACCCTTCTTCATAGTGGACTCCACAATTATGCTTCATATCAATCTTAACATCCCTATCATATATCGAATATGAGCATTAGATAGAGTTACAATAGAAGGATAAAAGTATATTATTATCCTTTTTTTTTTACTTAGAACAATGCCAAGTTGAGCTATAATGATGATCTCTTAAGTTTATTGGCACCCTTAGATCTTGAGATTATCACTTTTGAACATACACTTTCCGCTCATAATTTTGATCCCCATGCACCTCTCCACTCTCTTGTTACAAGTCTTATTTTCTTTGTTCATGTATTTATTTTAATTATTTTCATCGTTATACTCTATGCCTTTCTCTATAGGAGACAAAATGACTTTTTTTTTCTCGCCTTATATATATATTTTCTCGCTTTATGGTATATTTTTTCTCTTCAGCCTTCTGTCCTTTTTAATTATCTTTGAAATTTTTGACTTTATTTCCCTCATACTATGAGTAATTAGTCATATCTCTACAACTTATTTTATTAGATAAATACATCTAGAAGTTGGTTTCGAACAAAATTGTCCTTACTTTGGGATAGTCTCTTGTATTTGCAAACTACACACATGACTTTAAGTCATATAAAAATGATTCAAACTAGTTTAAATTCAAACAACATTAGAACAAGGTATAAACTTAGTTCAAACATGGTTGGAACAATGTATGAACTTAGTTTGAATAAGGTTCAAATCTAATTAGAACAAGGTTTAAACCTGCTTCAAACTTGGTTCAAATACATGCATTGAATCAAGAGGATGTCATAGCATGATAGTTGACTTGCAATAGAGATCTCGTAGCAAGAAGGCATTGTGGGACTAGTACGTGTGGAGAGGAGTTAGTAATTAAGGCATTGCATCACCAACATAATACGAAGGAAAAGATGATTTCGTGAGGAAGACATTGTAGGACTAGCAAAATGAGAAGAAGAATGGGAGTTCATGGGGAAGTCATCATGGGATCGACAACTTAGTGGCAAAGCTTGATAGGGAAGGCATCATTGGACCAATAATGTGTGTAAAGAGGAGTTCATGAGAAACTCATTGTTTGATAGATGTTGTGTGAAGGAGAAGAGGTCATAGGAAGGGCATCACAAGATTCGATGGTGTGCAATGTAGGAGTGAATGGGGGAACATCACATCATCTCCAATAAAAGAAGTTTAGATGGAAGGTATTCGAGAGCGATGAGAATGAAATTTTTACAAAATCACAATCTCATCAAGCTTTGAATAATATTTGAATTAAAGTCAAATTTGAATAAATTAGAATCAATTTTGTAGGTAATAAACTTCCATAAATAATTCATAAATAAAAAAAAATAAACATACAAATATATCTTTAAAAAAAAGAAAATAAAATATATTTAATCAATTAAGTGTATTATAAGGCATGAAAGTCACATGCAGTCACCTTCTTGACATATTGGTGCTATAACTCTTAAATTGCAAAAAAAAAAAAAAAAAAAAAAAAAAAAAAAAAAAAAAAAAAAAATCCCACCCGTGTCCAAGAGATTATGGGATTCAGCTCCTTTCTTCAATATAATAAAAAATAATAATAGCTAAAAAAAAAACCCGCGAATTCCTCCCTACCTTGGACAGCACGCATAGCAGCAGGAAGAAATTTGAAGCTGACTTTAAAATCAACAATGTTGTGCTCCAATGCCTGTCGTTCTCAATTTGCTCACCTTCTTCGTCCCTTCACCCCATCCCTCTCACTTTTCTACACAGCTTAAGCTGCTGCTACGTCATCTTCACCCTCACTGCTGTCGTCATCGATCTTTCTCCTCTATAATACGCGGCAATCAAATTAATAACCCTCCTTCATGATCCAGATTCCAAATCCACCTCAAGTTTTATTCCAATAAAACGTTCTTACATCATCCATATTCCAAAATCCAATTGTGTTCACATCCGACTTCTCAAAATCAGTTTTTTTTTTTTTTCCAGAATAGAAAAAAATTAGCTGATGGGAGACCAAAATCCATCTTCCAACCACCGCTACAATACCGATGGCTCAGCAACGGCCGACAAGATAACCAGCATGGCCATGGTGCTTACAGTAATCTTCTTCTTCCTCGTAGTCATCTTCGTCCTCTTCCTTTATATCTACACCCACTACTGCTGGATCGGAAGGTCCATAACCCATCGCCGCCCGGCACGCACCCATTTCATCTTCGCCGCCGGCGACGCTTCACTGCCCAGCATCGGCCTCAACCCTTCCATCCTCCTCTCTCTTCCTATCACCATCTACCGGTCGAATGATTCCAAAGAAGGCCTCGAATGCGCCGTCTGCCTCTCGGAACTCTCCGACGGAGAAAAGGCTCGTATTCTTCCAAATTGCAGCCATGGCTTCCATCTCGAATGCATTGACATGTGGTTTCACACCCACTCTACTTGCCCTCTTTGCCGTTGCCCAGTCGGCGGAGAACGTGAGCTTAGCTTGTCGCAGCCAGCAGGTTTACAGGGAGGAATAATGTTGGGTATTTTAAGTCCAGATCGGTCGTCGACGGAGATGTTTCAGTCGTCTTTGTCTCCATTGACGTCAAGCAGGCCTCAAATGGAGGAAATAAAGTCGCCGGTTGATGAGGGTATATCGCCGGCGAGGTTAAAGGTGGGATCTTTCAAGAGGATTTCGAGCAGAGGGAAGATGATAACTGGTGGTTCATGTTGTGGTAGCCCTATGGTTAGTGACATTGAGCAGGGCTTGGTGGGATATGGAGAAGTAAATGGGGAGGGAAGCTCGGTTTCTCCAAAAACAACGGAAAGCCGAATTTTGTAAGTCACTTCCGGAGAACTGCATCGACTCTTTGATTTTAGTTTATTATTATTTTTTTAAATTTGTACAATTCCGTTACCTTCTTCGTGATTGTCAATTGAATGATTGATTCTTCGGACTAAAATATGTAATCGTAGAATATTCATGCACGAACGTCAACGTAATTTTGTATTGCTAACATTCCTTTACTATTTCAAAATGTGAAGCATTGCCGCAGTCATGAGAACAGATTATTGGATACGCTTTACGTGTGGATTCAATAGTTGATAGCAGGACTAAAAGCTCAAGTAAATTAAAATAATAGCCTTGCTGATCTGGAGAAATTATTCTGTGCGGACACCAGAATGTGATATTCCTCTGAATTTGTTGTATTTTTAGTATTTTTTTGCTATTCTTTTTGCAAATACTCACAAGAGAGCAGTAAATATATAATTATGAATATATTTTTGTTGAGTATTTTTTGTGCTTTTACAAAAGGGCAGCAAAAACGTAGCAAATTTCCTACTAATTAAATATTTGTTATGATTTTGCTCCACGGCCCTTTTATAAAAACGCAGCAAATACTTAACAAAAGTGCATTCATAATTGCATATTTGCTGTCAATTTGTTGAGTATTTACAAAGCACATAAAAGGAAAATAAAAGCACAATAAATTCAGACGGTTCTCGCCGTTTAGTCTCTGCATAGCATAATCTCTCGCTGATCTGAGCCCAATCTACATAAGATTCCATGCTACCCAAGTAATTAATCTTTTGCTCCTTGTAAGTAGAGAAACTCTCGTAATCAATTCATTCAAGGAGAAACATACTCTCAACTAGGGGTGTCAATATTTGACACGACATGAAAACTCGACCCGGAAATTAAGGTTAGACCTGATCCGTTTCCAAAATGGGTCAGGTTCGTGTTGACCCAACGGGTTGCCGGGTCAACCCGAAAACCCGTTTCAAATGTCTAACCGCCTGCCTGTAGACCAACCCTAACCTGTCCGCCCCTGCCTGGCTGCCCGCGGAGCTGCCTGACCATGTCCGCCCCTGCTAAAGCTGTCCGCAATTAGCCGCCCACCCGAGGCTCCCCAAGCGCCTGCTGCTGTTGCTCGCGCACCCGCACTGCAGCGCACCTGGCCGCCCACCCGCCAGTGTCCCGCGTGCCCCCCGCGTGCCCACTTACCCGCCATGCCAGCCCGCGTCCTCGTCTGCTCTGGCATCTGCTCTTGACCGTGCCCGCGTTTGCACTGGTCTCCTTCCCGTGTCGGGTCGGGTCAACCCAGCAACCCACCGAGTCGGGTCCGGGTTCGAATATCCGACCCATTTACCTACCCGGGTCGGGTTATGGTCGACCCGATTGAACCTGGGTCAGTTCCGGGTTCGTCCTGAAACCCGGTTTTGACACCCTTACTCTCAAGTTTCTTCTTATAGAGAAAGTGCACATTTACCTTAGTTATATGCAAGGACACGAATAAAAAGGATCGATTGGCTATGTATGCCACACACATCTTTTAATTGATGAGCGATGTATAGTTATCAAACCATATGACCGACATAATTTATGGATTTTATAGGGCTGGCTTGTTCGGCTAACCCTTAAAAAAAAAATGCAACCTTTAAAGCTAAATTTAAAAATTTTTAAGAAATAATTTCTTTGAAGGTGGTTCAAATATTTCTAATGGTGACTAAAGCATTACTAAATAATAAAGAACTTATACAATCTTGACATAGGAATTCATGTAACTTTAAGCTTATTTGGGACGGCTTTTTTATTACTTTTTAAAATAACTTTCTATTTTAAAATTTTAAATTTTTATATTAAATCTTTAAGAAACAGTAAGAAACCCTTCCCAAATGAAACTTTAATCAAATAGTTAATACACCACAACAAAACTAAAGATTGAGAGAAGTATGTTACTCTAATTGTAAGCTTATGATACTTGAAGAATGAACACTTGCCATTCTTTTCCTTTGTGAAGATATTGCATTTTGCTTAATGTATTCTCCTTTAATATATGATATGACAATGTAGGTATAATGACAGAGAAATTATTCTGTCCAGACGCCGGATACCGTTCTGTGACAAATCAGAATACGCCACATCACCCCAGCACGGTATTTGGCTCGGTACCGCTCGGTACTGCTGACATGATGCATTCTAGTTGGTCTCTGAACGATAAACTACATTCGGCGTCCGCACAGACTAATTTCTCGTAATATGATGAGTAAGACTCTATATATAAAGGACACTATGCAGGCTTAGGAATGATTTTTTAATGGCTAGAAATCCCCTAACTCGGAATTTAATGACTCACCCAACATCTAGATAAATATAATTGTTATCAGACTTTTTAAGGTTAATGGATGCCCACTAATGGGTTTACAGAGGCCTTTAAACTTAGTGTAAGATGCTAATAGTAAATTCATAAGAAAAATCTTTACTAATTCACGAAGCCATAATAAGATTAGTGGCGGCCTAATAAGCTAACAGATGCCCATTAATGCTTGTAGAGGCCACATTAACTATGTATATAAACTAATTTGCTCAATTAAATATATTGCAGTTTTTAATTAGTTGTTTACACATATATATAACACTTTTGATATAATCTTATCATTTAAAATAAATTATAATTATTTAACAAACATATATATAACAGGTCAACAGGTCGGATTTGAGTCCAACTCAAATCTAACCCATTTTGATTAATTTTTTATAGCATTAACTATTAATTTATTATATTTGATTAAAAATAATGAGATTAAATTCACATGAAGAAAAAAAATCTATTAAATGGGTCATTTTTAGATTAAAAACGGGTTCGTGAGTCAACCCAACCCTAAACCTAATCCATTTAACAAGCAAGTCAATCTGAATCCAAATTTTTTAGGTCAAATTTGAATTGATTGGGTCAATTTTTAACACCCATATAGTTAAATATCTCTCCTCTCTCATCAACTTTTACACATCTTTGTAGTGCTTCTGATACAAGCCTCTTCCCTTGAATTAGTCAAGCCGTTCAATCACACACTTCATCCATATTAGCATTGCTCATTAACATCAATATAAGCATATCCAGTTTTGTTCACTATTTAATCTTCTAGGATATAACTAGTCCAAATACAATTGCATTTAGCTCAATTCAATCAATATTCAGCTTAATTCAATCTTCTTCTAAGCCAATTTTGACTCGGAGACTTCAAATTTAGCTTGATCCAAGCCAAAAGTTAATCCTTTGTTGAGAGATCTTCAATAATTATTGTCACCGACTCGCAAACTTACAAGTAGTTTAGAAAGGCCACCAACATTTGAGATCAATTTGTTGCAGAGCAATTTAACTGGTTTATGTAATTGTTTATACAATTCATGGAGTAAGAACAAAATTCTGAACAAGTTAAAATTAAAGTTGGGCATTTAACCTGAATTCATGAAAAAAAAATATAATTTCCTTTGTCAAGAAACTAAGAACAGGCTAAGAATTCTAGCAGAGGATCTCCTTATCTTATTTGTTTGGTAAACCTTCCAGCTTTTACTGAAAAACTGCCGCTTCCTAGCTCATAAAGTCTCAATTTTCTCTAGAAGATTGATTTCACAAGCTTCTAGCATTTGCAATGCTGCCAAAGCAAACCAGAAGCCAATAAAAAGATTATGATTGTTTTTGTTAAGTTATTTTTCAATTCAATAGGAATGAAAAACACTAATAATATCAAATGGCTTTGTTTTTGTCAATAGAAGCTTACCAGGCATGTAAACCTCTGGTTCAGTCGGCCTGATCACACCCTTGGTTTGAATCTTATTCTTAAGTAAAAGCTGGAAAATATCGAGTAAGATAATTAGTAAGATTGACAGCTGAATTCAGGCCTCTTAGTTATTTATATGGCCAGAAATGCAGAATTACCAGAACTCCAATGGCTGCTGGAACACCCACTGTAAGAGCCATTGCTGTGGTAGTTTTTCCATTTTCTGTCTTGCCGAATTCCAGAAGTGTGGCCTTATGGTTCTCCGTTGGCCTGCCATCTGGATACTCTACTTGGATCTCATGGTGTAAAAGCACCATGTCCTAATGGATCAATCAAAAAAGGCAGATGAAAGCTAAAGCTAAAGATAGGCAAAATAAAATTGTATTACAGTGAAAAGACAGAAATGAAGTGAAATTTTATACTTATGAAACTGTGAATTTATAATAAGAGAAAATTGGTTTTTTAATTTCCAATTACCATGAGAGACTATACTAGTAGAACAATTAGGCAGAAATTAATGAAGTCCAAGATACTAGTTAATATTGTGATTAAGGCCTCGTTTGGTTCCCCGGCTCCTTTTTTCCATTTTTAAACGGAAGTATAAGAATGGGAAACAAACAAATTTTTTTCTTCTCAGATCGATGGAAACAAGGAGGTTCGGGAGAAGGTATTTTAAAAAAGCCGTCTTAACAAACAACAAAAAAATAATTTTTTCGTCGATTCAAATCGGAGACGGAGAAATTACGACCAAGCAAATGAGGCCTAAGAAAGAGGGTTTCAGCAGTTTAAATGCAACATCAGTTAAGCTTTCATTACTTCTAGTCATCACTAGTAGGAAAAAAATGAAGGGTATTCTTCATTTTCAACTCTCCTTTCGTCTGATAAAGCCCACTTTCCCGAACAACCATACCATGTGAGAGTTCAGGGTATCTTTCAAGTGCTACGACACTTTACCAACCAGAGCTGGCCACACAAATAATTTAAGAATGAAATTAAAGAGGTTACATAACGCTGACTACAAATAGTTAAGATAAAGTTATTAACAATGATGACGAGTAGGTGTAGAACCAGCCTTAAATTTCGTGGGGCGAGGGGGGGGGGGCGGGGGGGGGGGGGGGGGGGCCTTATAAGTAAAAGTAAAAAAATTTCGTAGATATGCCGGGGGTCCAAGGGAACAGCGTTCCCTGGGATTTAGGTAAATCCGCCCTTGATGACGAGATACAACAGTTTTATATGTAGGCCAATAATATTCCCATTGATATTGCATGATGAAGCAACACCAAATGAAGCCCAAACACTAAGGTATATTAAAAGCTACATGTAGGCAGCAGTAGTGATATTGCATGATGAAGCAACTTCAACTGTCTTTTGTTTGAGTTGCGTAAGCTCCAATTAACTTATTATTCAGCTAATTTTCCAAAGAAAACCAATGTTCTTGTCCATCCGAGCAATCTAACTCATAAAACCCAAGGACATTTGGTCCTTCTGAAAGTGCCAAATATTTCCATAAGAATTTAGAGTTAATTACCTGCTCTTTGCTAGAATAGCTTAATCGCTCCTGCATCCGCAAACAAATAACGTCAAATGCGCTGGAGCATGCTTCAGGGATTTCTGCATCATCATGTAGTCCCAGAAACCTGGGCCAGAGATAAAAATCAGTGAAATGAGCCTTTATAATTCAAAACTTTGAATAAAATTACTGATTTTGCAGTTAATCAACATATGATGGCCTTGGTAGAGAGACTAAGTAGCTTTCCCATGCATTTGGCGTCTGCTTTCTGAATTCTTATTTTTATTTATTATTCTTTAATGATGTCTAACATTTTCCATTCGTGCTTAATGCTTATTGAGTGATGTCCAAAATGTTAAAACTAATTTTTACAAATCATTTTGAATAACTTTCATTCATGTAATCCTAATCTGCCCCTTTTTCTTCACAAACCTCTGATATTAATTTTCTCAAGTGGTACAAGAAAATTCGAAATGATCACAAAGGAAAAAAACAAAATAGTTTATAAGAAAAGTTGCAATTTTATACAGCTTGCAAAATATCATTTCAGTGACATCAATCCGTATTCGAAGAGGAAATCCACGAAACCTGATAGTTTTGGCTGTCTTTGTTGCTGTGGCAGCTTCTTTGCAGCATCCAAGCATCATCACTCTCTTAATAATTTCATTCTCTTCTAATGATACCTGCAGCTCCATAGAATCCAAACAATATTCACTTTTTTTCTTAAGAAGTTCATTTAGAAATGCACCAAAAGTTGGTCTCTGTATTCCTTTCAGCTTTGGATGAACATTCATATCAAAGAAGCCAAGTTTTCCCAGACAAGCCATTATTTCACTAAATCCTGAAAAAAAAAAATTGCAATATAAGAAAAATGATTCATATAGCCGACCCCATATAGTGAAATAGAAACTTGAAATTGTTGTTGTTATTGTTGTAGTAGTATAAGAAAAGAAACGTAGTGTTCTAACATATTTTTTTATGTAATATATGTCTATAGATTTGTTAATATGCGATTCATCCTTCTTTACATCATTGGTAAAATTCAAAATATCACTATAGAAAAACTGGAGTTAGAAAGGGCACAAATTTGTGATAGTATATTACCCTCAACAACATATGAAGTCGATAAAAAATCGACCAATTACATCACAAATAATGCCGGTAATTCTCCAAGGATATCAACTAAATCAATCCTACAGTCATTTGCTAATGAATGACATGGTGATGTGGAGGAAGAGGAGAGGGATAGAAAGTAAAGAGAAAAAAACCTTCATAACGAAGAGTAGCTCTAAAGATTGTTGATGCTTCAGCACTGATCCCATACAAATCCCCATACACTAAAGAATTACGATTTGGGAGATATTCCAAAGCAAAAGCAGGTAGATCTGGGATGCGGAAGCTAACTGCTGAGTCATATAGCTCGTTACCTGCATTAAATTAAGAAGAAATAGAATCAATGAAATTTATCTGAAACCAGTCGTAAGCATAAGTACTAGTCATTAATATAATGAGTTGATACACAAAACTAAAAATCAAACATTTTCTGCAAGGGGAAGATCCAATATTGAAAAAGGTGGTTCAGTTTGGAAGTTTAATAACAAAGATACCAATATTGTATGCCCGTTTTCATTTCATATGAGAGTGGTTAAGCGGACAAATATTCCTAAAATTTTAATACAAGATATAATTCCAGGGAATCAAATTAATCAATTAAGGAAAAAAGGAAAAAAGAACCTACCATCAACATCTATGACTTCCCCAAGATTTTTATAGGTGGCTGAATTTCTCCCTGCTCTGATTGCACCAGCTGGGCTCCAACTAAGAATCACAAAAATAAAAAAATACAGTGCGTGAAAATTAACAACACTGAAGGGTATTAAGCCTTCAAATCTTAAAAATAATAATGGGATACTCATAAAATGCATAAATTAGTAGATTGCAAAAAACATTAAAAAAAAAAAAAGTTATCTATCGATTGTGGTCATGAGTTCGAAAGTGTGTTTCCAAAGAAAAAGATGATGTACCTTTATATCTTATGCAGTTATGAGCTAAAGACATTTAGCTACTCTGGATAAAAGTATTGTTGTATTCCAGTCTTAAATAACCAAGAATAGCACACCTAACTTGAAAACTAAGAATAAATTCGGTGCTAAAAAGCTGCCAAAATAAACTTGTTACTGGTTCATTACCTGAACTTGTAGGCCAGTGGATTGTTTGCAGCAGCTGGAGCTGGCAATCCACCACAATAGGAACTGAATGACCTTATTTTTCCCTTCCTAACATGAGCTTGATTGATCATTCGCATTGCCATCATGTGATCTGCATGTTCACAGGTTACATCCATAAGCTAATCGACTCGATACTTCAATACAGTCTATGAATATATCATCCTAGAGTAAAAGGAGTAGATAAATGAAAAAGCCCAAACACAATGTTTCACTGCCTCCCACCCGAGAGATTATTACGTTCGGTGTCCGGACCGTCCGGAGACGAATCTGGACGCGCCACGTCACCCGGATGCACTAGGCCAGGGTGAAGTGGCGCATCCGGATTCGCCTCCGACGAATCCGGACGCCGTACATAATAATTTTCCCTCCCACCCACCAGGACTAGAGTCTCCATCACTTTCTTACAAGTTTGAGCTGGATATCACCCAAAGAGGGTGTCTATTTGAATTCCTTTTTGATGCTTTCTATTGTGTTTTCTTCCATCCTTAATTTAGACACACTTTCATACCCTGACTCAATCCCTCCAAAACACCCACCACCATCAGAAACCAAATTTCTTACCTATGCCAGGATCTAATCCCATTTCACAAAGAATTGTAACACCTGCATCTTTGGCCTTTTCATGATATGCTGACATAGAATCATCGACATAACTTGCAGTGACAAGGTGTTTCTTGTGCTGCAGAAATAGAATGAGGTTAGACATTGCAACATGGCATACGCATAAAAAAACACACACAAACTCACAGACGTGTATATATTATGCACATCAATTGTTGTCTAGTAAATATGTACATTTATGTATAAATTAATTTATAACAAGATGGTGCGTTTGTAAAACTAGATGCCTCCATGATTGAATGCATCAAAGCAATCTTTAACCACTGGTCTTCAACTGGGTCATTTACATTTGGTATGATGTCATATTACATATAATTGAATATTGTCAAGCAGGATGCTATACAATGTGCAGCCTTCATTTATTAGAAATTTGTCATATAGCTTCTGCAGCTTCAGTAGATTTCATCTACAATGTTAGTAACTCAGAAATTTATCAGTTTAAAATCCACAAAGCATAGACAAAGCACATAAACATGCATCTCAAGATACAGAATGGTCAAGATACCAAACCAGTATAAAAAAAAATATAATGAAGGAATGTGGGCTCCGAAAATTCGCTCCCCAGCCTCTCTGTGACCCCTTTCTTTCTTGTTGTCGGGAGGAGAGTCTTAACAAATTTAGGTTCCAAGGTAAATATTTAAGGCATATTGGATTTTAGATAAGATACTACTCATAGATTTTTCCCTTATTTTGTGAAGACTTAATGATCTGAGTTCAGGTTTCCTATAGGCGCAAGCCCCTATAGTTAATTATCCCTCCCTGATAACGAGAGAGAACTTTCGATTAATGCTAGTCATTAAATAGATATATAGTATACGACGTATAGTAGCTGCAAAATTTGATATAGAAAATTGAAATTTTATCACTACACACTTAAAGCGGATGGTTGGGGGAATGATGATGAACCTAATAAAGATCCTATGGTTCCGTAGTCTCGGGTCATAATGGTCCCTAGTATACTTAGTTAGAGAAGGTAGTAGACCCAATTTGACCAAAGGATCATTGTCAACAACCATGGGTTGCGTTGTCCAAGGGTACCTTGTAGACCTGGGGTGAATGTTTGACTAAGGGGACATTTGAATCCACCTTGGGTACAAATGGCTTTGTGCCCTATCGGTCATACTATACTCCATTGATTCAATAGTTAACGATTTAGAGCCAATGGAAAACATACGAGCTCTGACCATGATCGTAATTTAATGGTGTCATTTAGTGGCAAAATTGTCCGATCAAAGGGTCCTGGTCATAATCGTTTATCTGTAGTATCATTTGGTAGCAGAAATATCGGTTAGAGGACACATGCCACGTCTTTACTAGCAAGAGATAATTTGAGAATGAGTCTTAATGATATTCTCGACTAGACACTTGCTCTTTGTGAGCTGAAGTGATTTTCAAACTTGCATCTCGACAAACTGTTGTGAAAAGTGGATGGGTTTTATTTTAAGTTATCAGATGATTAAATTTCAATTTTAATTATTAATATTATTAAAAGATGGAGATCCTTATATCTTTGATAGGTCTTTAAAAATTAACCCCTCCATTTGAGATTAGCTTTCAACGCTACCATCATCGGAGTGACTTTATTGTTACTTTAAATATTTTTATTTTATGAGTATGGGAAAAAAATTTCAAAGTTTGGGGTCCCCTATATTTGAGATTTTCTATCTACACAACCATCATCGGGGATATTTAAATAGGTCATGTACCTATCATTTCAACCATGTCAACTCTAATCGCTCGTTGATAAAGGATTGGGTTCAATTACTGATGTTGTTAGTTATCCTATGGATATTGAGAATCAAGAGTTTTATGCTTTTAGTAATGAACCTTTCTTGTAATAGACCTTGAAGATCTAATATGAATATATAAAATCAAATACTCCGGTCGGCGTTACGACAGTATATTTGTTTAGTAGTTTAAGTTCTGTCAACTCGGGTCCATTCAAAGAGGAGGATCGAACTTTAACTCAGGTTCACTTTTGAACCGTGCAATATCCTTAGACGTCAGGTTTATTATACATCACACTCATTAGGGCTCATGCGGGTACATGCTTTTGAGTGGATTTCACATAGTGTATTTATATGGTGGCTATATGTATGTAATGCAGTGGATGTGTATGACATATCTACATATTCACATACACACTCATATTCATCTGCATGTTGACAAACTTGCATATGTATTTGTCTGTTTGTATATATACATGTGTATTAACATATGCATTTGTGAACTACTTAATGTGCTTGCATGGCATTTTTGTATGCTGCATGGTGGCTTAATGCATTAAGGTAGCGTATGATGTACTTGCATGTCGGCATAATGAGTTATTATGATAGTGCATCTTTGCATGTTGGATGGTATGTTTGCATGATGCATTTTGCATGTTGGATCGTGTGCATGCATAATGCATTTTACATGTTGCACTATGTATATGCACAGTATGATTGCTTGTTAATGTAATGTGCCGTCACAGCATGACGTACTTTGCATATTGAATGATGTACTTTCATAGTGTGTTTTGCATGCAGCAATGTATATGCACTTAGTGCATTTGTATGTTAAGTGAGCATGCCCATAACATATCTATTTATAACTAACTGCATGCACTTATGTGTATTTGTGTTGTACACTTGCATGCTTCGTAAAGCATTTACAAAGTGTATATGCATATTCTAAATGCATTAGTACGCATTCCAATGCATGAGGGGGTACTCTTGAAATATTTAAATATAGTTAATTGTCCAAGTGATTATCATTTAGAAAATGCGCAAATTTTCATTTAAGGGCTTGCAAATGCTTTATGTCCGCTTGTACGAGTGTTGTGAATTTGGTGGCATATTTAGCAGTGTGTTGAGTTTTGTTTTGTCATGCATAGGTGCTATTGTTTAGCTCACTTTATATTCTGCATGTTATCATTTTCTCCAAATATAGCTTGTAGGATTGTATTTCTTCCTACAAGTGAGTTGTACGATGCATCAAGAGTCCTTCACCCTTCATTTAACGAGCTAATCTATTTGATGTGGTGACCTAGCATTAGCAATTTCCTATTTTTGTCCACCAACAATCTACAATTTTCACTACAAAATTCCCTACTTCTACTTGTAGGTGAGTCATAGCGTTGTGTTCCGAGTCACTTCCTACTTAATGTAGGCAAACTATCGTGCAATGCAGGCTTTGTTAAGTTTGTTTGTGGGCCAATAGTAGGCATTCAGAAGTTATCAGCTGTTGCATGTAGGTAGACTGCATTCATTGTAAATTTTTCACCATTGCCCGTAGGTGGGGCTGTTGTGCGCATTTCTTTTGCTATTAATTGTGAGCGGGCTGCATCAAGTGCATATCTTCCTATGCTACTTATAAGTGGGACTGTTATATGCGTTGCAAGTTCGTATGCTCCACCATAGACCTACTACTTTTAACTCGTAGGCAAGCTTCTGCGTGCATGACGAGTCTCTTATAGTGGCTCGTAAGTGCTTGTATTCATCGTAGATCTTTTGTCCTTGCTCATAGAAGATGTATCACATATTTATGTTCACAGAGGATTCAACATACTTACAACATATCCACTATCGTTGCCCACAAACAGACTATATTAGCCGTCATTGTTCGTAGGGGATTTTTGTATTTATCTACAAGTGGGTTGACATAGACTGTAGGGATGTCGTTGCATTCATTGCATATTGCTTTTTATCACCCGTAGCCATAGGTGGATTATTGCGCTCATTGCAATTCTTCTATTATTGCCCTCAGGTGCTTGCATTCATTACCAACATTTTTGCCTTTGCCCATAGACAATTTGTTGCATTCATTGCAACTTCCTTAACATGTTTGTAGAAGAGTCTTCATATTTACTTCATATCTACTATCATTGCTTGCAGGCGAATCAATGAGTTCATTTGCAAGTTAATGTTAATTGTAGGTGAACTTCTGGTGTGGATCGTCGCGGCAGCTCCGGGAACTCGGCGGCTGAAGACCTGCACAAGAGAAAAGCTAGACAAGCAATGGAACAGTGAAAATGATTTTCTTTTCTCCTTTCTTCAACTTTCGGTCTACATATACGACCTTCCTGTCAAACACTACTACGGTGAGAGCTTCCTAATAATAACTAACAGAAATGATGACTAGATAATATCATTTCTGCAAGAAAGGGTAAAGGTAAATAACGAACAAAAAGTAAGAGAACGTGGCTTGCGCATAGTGGTCCCTCCTCAATGGTATTCCTGAGTAACCTTCTCCTTAAACTGTACCACATTAGGTACCCCCAGCTGCTTCAAATTCAGGTTCCACCTGAATGTTAGAATTGTTATCTGGTGGTTGGTAATGAAATAAATCAGCAACATTAAACGTCTTAGAAATGCGGAGGTGGTTAGGAAGATCGACAATATAAGCATTGTCGTTGATGCGTTTGCTGACAGGCACTGGTCCAAATTTACGCGGCCCCAGTTTAGAATGATATTCCGACGGTAGACGCTCTTTGCTGATTCGGACCATCACGAGATCACCAACTTCAAAAACAACACGTCGCCGGCGTTGGTCCGCATCCCGTTTGTAATTAGAATTGGAGGTGATCAACTTAGTGCGAACTTCCTCGAGGATTTTTTGACAATGATCAGTAAGTGCTACAGCAGACTTGTTAGCGCATTTAGGTAAAATAGCAATGTCAAATAAGTGATTAGGAGCCTTTGTGTAGACAACAGCGAATGGGCACTTCCCTGTGGAACGATTCGGCATCGAGTTATAGGCAAACTCCGCTTGGCTTAATGAATTTTCCCATAGCTTCGGATGATTTTGAACTAGGCAACGAAGGATATTGCCCAACATGCGATTGACTACCTCCGTCTGGCCGTCGGACTGGGGATGATAGGCGGAGCTCAAATTGATGGAAGTGTGCAATCGCTTCCAAAGTTCTCTCCAAAAATGGCTAACAAATTTAACGTCTCTATCCGACGTTATGCTCCTCGGAAGACCGTGTAAGCGAACGATCTCGCTGAAAAATAAGTGAGCAATATGAACTGCATCGAAGGTCTTCTTACAAGCGACGAAGTGCGCCATTTTTGAAAA